AAGCATGAATGTGTTCACCCCATAACCCATCTGTTCACCATACAGAAGGAAGCATGTACAGCCTGAACAGCTCCATGTTCTACCAACAGCATGCCCACGATAAAAGTATCTTCTAGACAAAGAATGACGACACTTGGGCCTTGAGAGAAAAAGGGGTGAATGTTTGGGTTCATTAAAATATGTTAACTGAACTTTAAAGCATGTGCTTAGTTTGTTCTCTGATTTGGAGCCTTTCTTAGAATAATAAAATCCAAACGGATGATTTTTTAAAAATCTAAAATAATTGTGAATGGTAACTCTACAAGCAAGACTTTGTTTCCCTCTCACCCTGTGAGACGTCTGCTTCCCTCACTCCAAAGGTCTGTCCTGGGTCCCTTGCTGTTGCTTTCGGTTCTATGTCTAATTTCAAGTAACTTCTCCCTGTGGTTCCTCCTAAAGAATGTTTGAGAAGGCAGGGCTTGCTTCTCTTCAAAAAACCCTCTTGCTGGCCAATTGCCTCAGTGAATCAAAACCTATAGTCAGTTGCACAGGGTGAGGAAGTTGAAAGTTAGTATTTCCTTAGAAACCTTAGAAGACAGGACAGGACTTCCCAAGATCACCTGGTCAAAAAAAAAAAAAAAAAAAACAAAGTTTCTCTACCCACCAGAGTCACAGAACAAGGAGGACTTCTCTGCTGCTTTGACATAGCCTCCTTGCACTCTGCCTGGCTCTGGCAGGTGCCAGAGACAGTTGATCTCTGAGCTGAGGAAACATAGGACTCCCAGGAGAGGTTGGTCTGGTCCTTTGTTCTGAGAGCTCCTAGATTGTTCTGCACTCTGAGACCACTGGGTAGGCATGCTCTTGTCTGCCCAGAGGGAGTCTCCCTGACTTCCAGGGCCAGTTCCCATTTCTGAACGTGTCTGTTCTGACTATTGATGCCCACCTCAAGAGTGACAAGTGCACCCACCTTCGCTGGGAGTACTTACTCTCACGGAATGCTGCAGGTCCACCTTGAAGAGACTGTCACTTCTCAAACAGAAGATGAGGTCAACCTCGGGGGTACATTTGGCTTCTCTCTCTCTCTCTCTCTCTCTCTCTCTCTCTCTCCTTAATATCCAGACTACTATTTTTGAGTTATTTTATTAAATTTGAAGTCTGAAGTCTATAAGTCACTGCATCATGTTATCTTGCTGAATAAACAGAATTAGGGTCATTGTGTGTTGCTAATTCTATAGGTTCTTTCACCTGTGGGTTTCTCCCTACAGTTCAGCTTCCTTAACGTTCTGAAAATCCCACAGCTTGTAGCTTCAACCCATAAACATCACAGATTCCTCTACCTGCTGTGATGTCAAAAAGTTTATCTTAACCTGGCCCCACCACAAGCTAATGGATGGATGACTCTTGCCAGAAAATTGTTTGAAGACAGCAACTTTTGTTCAAACTAAGCCTGCCAAGGGCTGGCAAGTTTGTAGTAAATTCTAGATGTCACAAGGGAACAGCATTTGGGACAAAGAGGTTGACTCCTATGAGAAGAACACCGGATCCCTCTGGGGTCTGTGCTGTCTTTTATCTCTGACTTTGGAATGCCCCATGGTGTTATACCCCCACCTCCACCCATGGTATCTGTCACCAAGGTTATCTCAGGGTGACGTGTAAAGGCAAAGAGCCTAGAGGGATCCAAGTGACCCTGACTAAAGCTACAGAGCCTGATCAACCCTCACTAGGGACCCATTTTGTCTTCTGTCAGACCAACAGTGTCGGAATTCCTCCAGAATAATCTGTTTAGTTGGGTTAAGAGCCTCTTCTGCTTTGTCTGGTTTGACTCTGTGGAAAGCTATGAAATAAATTTTTAAAAAGAACAAGAAAAAGGCATGTGTCAACTGAGGGGAGGAAGGCACTGGGCCAGGGTACCCAGTACCAGTAGCAAAGCACACAGGGGCAGATGACAAGTGTTGCATCCTCTCCAGCAGTGCCCCACCCCCAGACACAGTAGGCAACATTCAACCACAGTAAGCATAGCCCTGTGCAACTGTATGCACCCAGGTCTCCTCAGGGCACCTAACATGCCCTCAAGTGTCACTGTACGTGCAGGACCTGAGTCCAGCCAGTTTCCTGGATTAAAATTGACCAGCATTCTGGGCATCTGATAGGTGTGATTTCCTCTGTCCATGGTACTAACCAGAAGGAAGGAAAGACTTGCAGCCTCCGTGTTTGGGGCAAGTGCCCCATACACGACCTTGGGAGCACAGTGTTCCTGCTCACTCAGGCCCCCTCTAGAGCTCCCACTGTTCCAGCTTCAGAGAAGCCAAGCCTGTGAGTGATAGGTGGTGCCCTGGGCCTGAGGACAGCGATGACAGTGAAGAAACAGGTCAACCCCGTGCCTCTCTGCTGTTCCAGGCACAGGCTCACTTAGGGTCCAAAGCAGCTCAGAACATCCTCTTGCTTTTTTGTTTTGCTCCATCTGAACACAAATAGAGATAGGCTAATATTACTTTATTTGTCCCTCTTTTGGCCCCTCTCAACCAGTTTGCTAGATCCCTTCACTACCAAGCCTTCACTGTGGTATAAGGTGGAAAATCATCGGCTGGCTTCCACCAATGCCCTCCGGATACCAGAATGACCTCAGAACACACAGTCTGCCCACAGGAGCCTTTGCATCGGTATAAAGAAGACTGTACTTTTCCACTCTCCAAAGAAGCATGGAAAGGGAAGGCCATCTTCCTAATGGCAGAATTTTATGCTAACTTGTATTACTTTAAAATTTGTCGCCTGATGCTCTTCATCTACACTTCAGGGCCCACTTCAATCATGTGTTTACTATGCAGCTTCACTTAGAAGCAAATTGATACAAACAGAATCTTGGCTTTTGTTTTGGAGTAGTATATTTGTTCAACTGAAATACATTTTGCCAGTAGACAGAAAACCTCTCAGAAACAAGTAAGTCACATCTACATGTATAAAGGTGTATAGAGGTGAATTTCCACCCTTTGGTCAAGGACAAAAACATCGAGTACAACACAGATGGCAGCCGCTGTTCCTGAAGACAGGTCTGGACTTGTTGAGTGGGGCCAGATTTTGTGTTTATTAAAAAAAAAAGTAAAATACTGCCACTCACCATAGCTTGGATGGTGTGTGGTTCATTTGGGGGGATCTCTTTGATAGGCAAATGTGGTTGGAAACTTAATGGGCATCAGGAGAAAAGTAGGAGAGCTCCACAAAATGAAGGGCATACTCTGTGAAATGTGGGTCTGCTCCTTGATAGCACTTTTCAGAATACTGTGGGTGATCAGCAGAACCATTCTTCAAAGAGCTGAGTGACAAGTAACGGAAAACATTGTAATTGCCTGTTATTAAATTTAATATCCCAAACAGATGGTCTCCCCAACACACTCCCGCTTATGCACCCAATAGATGGCTCACCTGACTGGAAACTTAAATTTTGGAGCCCTTTCTCCAAACTCAGTTGCTTAACTTGTGTTACACCCATATGTAAATTTCTTTTTCCTACTTGGTTCTTAATAATAATAATAATAATAATAATAATAATAATAATAATAATAATCTCTCATTTTATTTGAGGATTGGCTTTCACCTAAAACCCCAAATTATAGACAAGTGGGGAATACATTTTTTTTTTAAAGGTACTCCTGTATCTGCTGGTGAAAGGGGCAGACTCTTTTGATTGTTTAGTTGGGCCCCTCTGACAGGCTGCTAGGGCTTGCTCCAACTCACTTTCTAGTACATTTCTGTCAGAAAGGGCAGAATCTAATACAGGTTCAACTGTGCAGAATCCCTGACTCTTGTCAGGGCAGTTTTCCTAACTATGGAAATTCAGGCACTATTAAGAAACCATTAAAGACCACCATTTAAAATGTCCTTTAGATCCTCTTTGGGAGGAGCTATGTGATAGGAAAATAAGACCACAATATTTTGACTTTGAAAATATTTTATTTGAATAGTAAATATTTATACAGTTGAAACAGTTCTATCGAAGCTTTCTATAAATAGCTAACAATTAAGAAAATAATGTATGTAGAAAAGATTGCATTTAAAAGTAAGAGCTGTCGGTTGTACAAGGGCCTTGGGGCCCCTCAAGCAGAATAAAATGGTATGTTGTCTGTAATTCCCTCGGATAGATAGAAAAGTTAAAACTCTCAGCAGACCCCTTTAGTAAAAAGGTTCTCTCCTAAAATGCACAGTGAAATGTCAAAAGGGGCAGGGGGAAAGCTCACAAAACAAAACAAAATGAATCTGCAATCAAATAATATCATAATCTTCATAATTCATATAAATAAATAAAGAATAAATAACAATTACGAATAAATCAACATATACATGTAAAGGGAACGCATATAGCCCTACCTCAACAAAGATGATCAAACCAAAACCTCTTCCGTGAAATATTGAGGCAGTTACTACAGCATCTTGTGAAAACTCCTTTCCCTCCCCACAAAAAAAAAAAACTAAAAACAAAACAAACAAACAAACAAACAAAAAAACCCAATCCCGAACAGACAACCGGTCAAGGCATTTGTGGCTATACTAAAGAAAACTCTTTTTTAAGCAATTTGATTTGTTCACATACAAAAAGGTAAAGCCAGACTCCAGCAGTTCACAAGCCATAATAAAGCTAATCGTGTGGGAAGTTCAATTTACAGCCTGTGAAATATAAAGGCATTTATTCCTCAAGATTCACCCAAAAACAACCCGTACGCTACAGACATTGAAAGCGGAGATTGGTAGGCAGAGCAAACCGCATTTTCTAGACCATGAACACAGCGAATACTAGCAAGAAAAACAGCTTCGCCCCTCAAGGGGAGGCTTCCAACCACGAGACAAATGCATACAGCTTTTTTTTTTTTTTTTCCTCCCCTGTACAGAAAGAGACGGACTCCTGTTGCTCCATGGGTGGGGGTACACAACGCAAAGGGGGTAGGGTCCAAAAGGAGTCACAGCGAGAGGACCAGGTTTACCATCACGCCACACCAAGAGAAGCGAAGACGACACTTTTACCCCGGGATGGGGGCACCCCAGCACAGAAATGGGGCCGCGCTCTCTTTGTGGGTCTCCAAGTGAAGGCACAGTTCTGGGGGCCGGGACCGAGGGCGCACTCTAGCAGGCTGGGCGCACGGGCACCTGAAGGAGGATCACCTGTCTATTCTCAGACGGGTGGCACTTGTTGATGTGCCGCGTAAGACCCGGGGAGCTGTAGAAGGTGGCCGGGCAGTACTTGCAGGGGAACACCTGGGCAGCGTGCAGCAGGCGCAGGTGGCGCTCCTGGGCGCCCTTGCTGGGGAAGGTCTCCCCGCACACTGGGCACAGGTGGCACTCGGCGGCCGCACTCAGGCCCAGGCCGTCGCCCACAGCCTCCTGGGGCGCCTTTTCGTCGGACCCCGCGTAGAAAGCTAGTATGTCCTCGGCGGGAGGCGGCGGTGGCGGCGGCGCGCCTTTGGCCTGCAGCGCCTGGTGATGTGCCAGCAGGTGCTTGCGCAGATAGGCCTGGCGACGGAACTTCTTGGCGCAGTGGTGGCACTCGTAGAGCCCGTCCTCGGAGCCTGACTCGGATACGCCGCCGGGGCTCGGCGTGTCCCGATCGCTGCCGCCGCCCGCAGAGTCGCGCGCCTCGGCCCTGGTGGCGGCTTCCGGCTCCGGCGCACGGGTCGCGGCAGGCGCCGGCCGCGGTTTGTGCCAGCGGCGGTGTGAGGCCAGGTTGGCCGGGCAGCTGAAGACCTTGGCGCACTCGGGGCAGCGGTACTCCACGCGCACGATGCGCGAGCACTTGTGCTGCGCCAGCGCGAACGGGTCGGCGTACTCCTCCTTGCACAGCTGGCAGATGAACTCGCCCAGCGGCCGGGTTGTGCCCCCGGCGCGGCCCCGGGGCGCCTCTACCGGGCCCTCCTTGATCTTGAGCCCCAGCACCGGCGACGTGGTCACCTCATCCTCGAAGTGCAGCTTGCGGATGGCCTTGGGCTTTTTGGCGCTCGGGGCCTTGGCTGCCTTGGCAGGTGGCTCTGCAGCGAGTGTGCCCGGGGGCGCGGGCCGCTTGCCCGGGGGCCGCAGGGCAGCTGCGGGGGACAGTGGGGGACCAGGCCCGGGACCCCGGGCCGCCTCGGCGCCGGCGGAGAACGCGGTACCCATTTTGAGCTCAGCGGGTGCGAAGAGTAGCGCGTCTCCGCCGCAGGTGCCGCCGCCGCCTGCGCCGTTGGCGCCGCCGCCTCCCCCTGCGAGCAGCGCGGCGGGCGTAGGGAAGGACTCGGCTGACACCGGCGAGCCGAGGTTGAAGCTGCGCTCGAAGTACTTGTGCTTCTCGTGCTCGCGGCTCACCGGCCGCGTGGGGCTGTAGAGAGGTGCGGGGTGAGCAGCCTCTGGGTTGCCGAAGTGCGTGGCCCGCGGGCCCGGAGGGGGTGGCGGCGGGCCCGGTGCGCAGGCAAGTGCGGCGGCGAGCGCTGCATGGGCGCGCTCCGCGAGTGCCGGCGGAGGAGGTGGCGGCAGTGGCCCGGGGCTTGGCACCGGGGGCTCGGCGCGGGCGCCCCCGCAGCCGGGTGACAGCAGCAGCTCGCGGTCACCGTCCTCGCCTCCCCGGATCCGGTAGGACACGGGCGTGGACTTCTTGCTGCGTTTCACCAGGAACCCGCGGGGCATGTTGGCGTGGTGCAAGGGCAACGCACTGGCTGAGTCCCACCTCCGTGCTCGGTCCCGGCGGTCCTCAGTGCTCCCAGCCCATCGCCTGCACGCGGCGGTTTCGGGACTCGCGTAGCGCCCGCGGCGGCTGGACCGGCTCTGCGCCCCGCACGCGCGTCCCTGTCTCCGGGCCCGGGCGCCTCTTCCTTTTAACGGGGGGAGGGGGCCATTGTTCTCGCCTCCCGCTTCCCCCAGAGCCAATCAGAGCGTTCGCAGCTCCTCAGCCGCGGAGGGTGGGAGGGCGACGAAGCGGCAAAAAGGGGGCCGGGACTCGAGGGTCGCCCGGTAGGTGCGGCAGATGTACCTGAGGGCGCGGGGCCCCAGCGCGCGCCCCTCGGCCGCCCCGCCCCGCCGCGCCCGGCGCCGCCGCCCCGCCTGGTCCAGGCACACGCCCGGCCCCGCCTCCCTTCACGGTCTGCTGCTCCTCTATGGGGAGGCGCACGTGCCTGGGCTTTGTGTATCTCCTCCGGGGGGCGCGGAGCCGCCAAATGGGCCCGTCCATCAGCACGACAATGTGCGCCCCCCTCCCGCGCGGGGATTACCCGCGGGTCGCGAGCTAAATAGCAACAAAGGAGAAGAATGGCCCCAAATATGTCAGGAGGGTTCAATCCGCGAGCCGGAGCCCAGGGGGAAATTGGGCGCGCTGATGGGGTGGGGGCGGGGACGACCAGAGGTCTGCGGCTGCGGCGGGAGTTGGGCGCGGGAGCCCCGCACGCTCTCCAGCAATGGTCGGGTAGGGAAAAGCGCCACAAAGTCGAGACAGCCAGTGGTTGGCCAGGGACCCCGGGGTTCCCAGTGTAAACAAGTCAGGTATGCGGGCTTCGGCCGAGCACGCGGTCTGTGCTCTAAGGCTTGACCTGACGGTGAGCCTCGAAAAGCTTCTCTCGAGTTGGAGAAACTGTTGGCAGAGCACGTTTTCGATCGTCCGCGGATGCGGGCCTGCAGCCTTGACTGGCTGGCTTCCAAATGGAACTTGAATGTCTGAACTTACTTTCCTTTCCCTGAGATCCCCGAGGCCCCGGGATTGGCGTCCTTGCCAAGGTCAGACCCAGGCTTCGGGAGCCTCCCCTCTGTCCAGGGCCCAGGCAACGCCTGTGGAGTTGGCCCAAGCTGGCCACGAGCAGTGAAGTTGGTTTCCACCCTCTGCGCAGCCTCATGCATTTTCATTCTGAGCGGGCATTTTGTCTGTGGGTAGACATCAGATGCTAAATCAAGGGCTCCAATCAAGGCGCTGCGGAATAAAGCAACCGCCTGTCTGGGCAGCCCCCCACCCCCCGAGCCGTGCCCCCTTCACCTTTGTGAAGGAAATTAACCTCCCGCTATTGAGCGCGGGTCGCGGCCAATCTGGACGCAAAAGAGACGCGTGCTGCTGGGGCGCGCGGGGGAGGGGGGCAATCTGTCCTTAGAGGGAGACTGCAGCCTGAGGACCAGCAGCTTCCCCAGTGCCACCGGGGAGAGACAACAGGGAAGAACACCCCTCGGTACACACACACCATACCCGACGCCCGATTTGGACGCAGACTGGGTTACTTGTCTAGCATTCTCTTCCCGGCCCAGAGCCCAGGAAACACAAAAGATTGCATTTCTCGGGGAAAGGAATAGGTCCCTACGAATGAATGCACATTAGCCAGGACTGCCCTTCAGCAGGAAACAAATAGCCGAGACTCATCAAATATCACAGCTGTAGGAAAAATGTCACTTTACTGAAAGTGAAGGAAACATTTTTTTTTCTTGCAATGCTCTGTGAGCCTAGATTTTGCTGAGTTTCAGTTATGCCTAATTCCACTGAAGGCATTTAATTGTTTTGGGGTTTCCCTCTGAAAATACCCTGGCTTGGAAATTAAACACAGTTTTTCAACAGAATCCACTAGAATAATAAATTGTAATGGGGACAGTTGTTAAGGTGAGTTAACTGGGGGGGGGTGTCTTATGATTTTATGTCTGTGATTTTCTTTCTTTCTTTCTTTCTTTCTTTCTTTTTTTTTTTTTTTTTTTTTTTTGATCCATCAACTGAAAAGAGGAAAACACACAAAATGAGTGCTGTGCTGGTTGATAATTCTTTAAAAAGTTAGAAGCCCTAAAAATGAATTTACAATTCATGAATGTTTCGGTCTGAAAACAACTGGTGTTATATCCTTGCCCTTTTGAGCGCCGATTGTGACTACTGATGAAATTAGGAGAGAGAGGATTCCGAGACAGCTTCGACCAATTTTATTTTCTAATCATGAATCCCATCTGGGTTGTGGGATAATAGGGCAGTGCTGGATGGTCTACCCCCAACAACATATTTAGTCTTGCGTAGGTACCACTCTTTTTATTAAAAAGACTACCAGGAGAGTTAAGCGCCTAATGAATTCTTAAACAAACAAACAAAACCCCACTAATAATTGTAATGAAGGTGTGTGTGGGGTTGCATATGACCAACAATTGGGGGAAAAATCCTTGCCCTAGGGAATTCAAACAGGGCTCTTGATTTAGTCAGGAAAATTTATGCAGATGTTTAATGGTTGTTTTTCACTCTGGTACAGTTAAAATAAATGGAAACTTGGAAAGTTCTGGGACACTTAGACTGCGTGCGCCCACACAGGCATACACCAGCCACCCTTCAGCAGGTGCAGTCTTGCACCGGTGGTGGGTCTCCACCATGGTCTGCGGAATTTTCTCGGAACTTGCTTGCCTGCAGGGACGAGGACACCGACTCCTGAGATGTGTCTTCTTCCTGAGAAGAGCAAAGCGCGACCATGGCCTGCTTCTTCACACTGCGATCCGGAATAATCGGCGCAGGGAGTAGGGGTGGGGAAACCCTGAGCTTTACTTTTCCTTCTTTAGAGGAGGAGGGGGTGTCTAACGGAGTCGGTGGGAAGCAGGGCACTGAAGTGCCCCCAGAGGGGACACTTCGGCAGGGACCGCTTGGGAAAACCTCCCAGGCCTCTCCGATGCTTGTGCTTGCAGAATGGGATGTGGGTACCGGCTCCCAAGGCTGCATACTTGGAGGCTCGCAGTGCACAGTCCTCTCCTATTCTTTGTGCACACAGCTGCTGTCGGGGCTCACTGTGACTCCCCAGCTCTGCTTCGAATGAAAGCTGAGAACGCTGGGAGTTCCTGGAAAGTGGGTGTCTGGGTACCAAGGATAGTCTTTGGGAATTTAGCTGTGGGTCTGGGTCTGGAGTTGTACTAAGAGCTTTGACCACGTCGAAGGATATTCACGGGTCAGCAGGGGTCTCAGCCCTCGGCCGGGCAGAGGTAGTTTCTGGAGATACAAGGGTGTGTGTGTGTGTGTGTGTGTGTGTGTGTGTGTGTGTATGTGTGTGTGTGTGTGTGTGGTGTGTGTGTGTGTGTGTGTGTGTGTGTCGGGGTGAATGTCTCTAGTTCTCTCTAGTTCTCTCTGCCATTCTACAGCAGCTCTCTTGACTTAACAGAAGCACCCAGCCCAGCGCCGGGTTCCCACAAGCCACGACTGGAAGGCATTGAGCCCTACTGTCCCATGGCCACCGCCAGATCCTGGAGGGGCCAGTGTCCAGAAGCTTTGTGTTTGCAGGAATGAAGGGTTGTCTTGTCAGTCCCAGGGGCACGCGAGAGACACGCGCAAGCGGGATGCCGCCGCCCCTCCCGGCCCAGTCCGGCCTCTGGGCACCTTCCGGGCCTCCCCGCCCCGTAGGCCGCTGCCTTTGTTTGGCACATTAGCATAAAGCTGCCACGGATCTCCCGTTTAAATAATTCCACACAAAAGGAGAGTGCATGAAAGAGATCGAACAAGGGTGAAGCCGCGAGGCCGAGCTGGGCGCTGGGCGCGGGAGGGACGCGCTCGAGTGTCCCCTCCCCTCCAGAGCCCAGGGCCCCGCAATCTGCCGCGTACCCATTATGAAGCCACCGCTTTCATACCGCCACCACCCCCTCCCCGTGCCGTCGGGCCACCGCACACTCATTGGAGTGCCCTCAGGGCTGTTTGTTTTTGCTTTGGGTGCGGACAGTTCGGGAGGACCCGGGGTGGTTGGATCCAAGGCTGCTAGAGGGGTGGCGTTGGCGAAGCCAGCAGGTGTGGGAACGTCTCAGCTGGAACCTTTGGGCTAGAAGAGCGCGGGACAACGCTGGCCGGGCCGGGTTGACAATGAGCGTGGGTGCAGAGGCAGCCCTACCCCCCACACACACACGGCCCCCGTGCCCCGTGTCTGAAAATGAACCCACAGAAGTGGAGCCAAACCCACCAGTGAAACCGGCGAATCCGCTGCCAGCACCTCACACCCCGCATCACCACCCCTCTGGGCCTGATTCTGTCCTTGGGTTCAGGGCGTGTTTCCCTCACAACTTATCCTCTCCCATTCGGTACACCTTTCTGCCCTTTCTCTCTCCCACCTCCTTTGATGGTTTTCCCTCCCTCCCTCTTTCCTGTCATCCTTTCCCCATCTCCCCCACCCCAGTCTTCCTGTGTTTTCCTCCCCACCTGTCTCCTGGTCCTCTCCTCACTTCTAGTCGCCCCTCGACCTCAGACCGTCCCTCTCCCCACCTCTTTCAGCTCCCTTTCCCCCTCCCCCAGTGTTTCTTCGCAGGTCTTGACAATCCCTTCCCCCTTCCTCATCACAGTCTTCCCTCCACCTCTGCCCTTCGCTGTCCCCTCTTCCTTCTCTACTCTCTTCCACTCTTACCTTCTCTTTCCCCCTCCCTCAATCTTCCCCCACTCCTCTTATCCCCCTCACCCCCCAAACGGGCCAACGTGTGTTATTTTATTTGTCTAGAGAGAGCCTATTTGTTCAGTGATGTGTGGCCTCCTGGTCGCCTGCTTTAATGGGGGACGCGGAGGCTGGGTTTCTGTGAACATTAGCATACAGCTGCCGGGCTCCCGCCCCGGCCCCGCGCTTACTTTATGCCCGCCTTATCTTCACTTCTCTCAGCCAGAAAACAATCAACAGCTCCTCACACACGCGACTTTCCAGTTCGACCCTGTTAAGACTGGCTCGCTCAACTGCATTCTGTCCTTGTAATCCTTAGCGTTCTCTCTCTCTCTCTCTCTCTCTCTCTCTCTCTCTCTCTCTCTCTCTCAATATCGATTGGGTGACTTTTTTTTTTTAATCCTCCAGGCAGGTTTTCTTTCTCTTTCACATCATGTCTTACCTTTTTTTTTTTTTTTTTTTTTTTTTTTTTTTTTTTTTTGGAGTGATATCTGAGTGCAGTAAAACCACAAGGAGGCATCTGTAGAAAGGAGGGGCCTACATTTCTCTTTCAAGACCTGGCATCTGTGGGAACACGAGAAACATCAGTGAAGCAGCGTTTGGAAATTTAACTTTACTATTTTCTTGACGATAGTCTCTGGTTAAAACAATATAACTCCAAGATCAGGTGGGGACCCTCTGAGATGTTCCAGTGTTGGCCTCTTTGAATCTCTATGGTGGACTCTATTCTCTTGAAGCCCCTAAGACAGACAGTTTCAAGCTGTGACCAATGGCTGTAAGGGCTTCACTTTTTAGGAAACTTGTTCTCAATGGCTGCACATATATGCCAAAGGTCCCAGATTCAGAATTTTGCTAAGAGTGGGACACGAATTAAAATGTCACTGGACACATCTTGTAGGCCACAGAGTGTACTCACATGTGTTGTGATGCCCATGGCTACCCTTGTAAAGGCAGCAAAGACAACACCATTGGTAACAGATTTATGCAGGACTTGCTGTTGAGGTTAACATAGTCATCTGGGGGTACTTTTGTGTGGCTAGAGGCTTTATCATGGTAATAGCTGGTCACAAAAGTCATAACTGTTAAACCGGCTCGACGACTTTGTTCTGTTAATCTCTAGCCCATGATCCCAGGGCCTGTCACCTAAACCTCTGCATTTGCTGAGGAGATTGACCCAGGTCCTCCCCAGAACTGGAAGAGGGAAGGAAGAGATCCTGGTTCCTGAGCTGACAGCCCTGAAATATGTGTTGGGTGTGAATTCTGAAGTGTGGTCCAGCAGCCATTGGTTTCCATTCAAGTGATACAGTTTGTGCCATATGGCCACTGCTGCCCTCCCCCCTCAACGCTCCATGCATTTGTGTAAAACCTATGTGTGAAGGAATCAGCAGCATTTCTTACTTGCCTTTGTATGGCTGCAGAAAAATGGGAGTTCAGTGTTCTGGAACAATGTTGCTGTGTGAAGTGTCAAATAACTTGGTTGCTCAAAGTGCAGCAGACTTGGATGGTACATGTAGACTCCTGGATGGCCCAGCTCCCATTGTGCTTTGTGGGGGCTGAGGGAATCTTGTCACGGTGCCTTTGGGTATGCGTGTGTGATGACACCTGTAATGTGTGCATTAAAACCAAGCCCTACTGTGGATCAGCACACGGTTCCCATTTGTTCCTGAATTCATGTGCATTTGGAGGTGGGCAATTAAAACTTGCTTTCCATGAGAGAAGGTTGCTTGTTTTCTCCCTCCCCCGTCCCCTTCCTCCTCCCCCTTCTCTCTCCCCCCCCCTTTTTTTTTTTTTTAGAAATAGTTCCACTTTGCAGTCTAGGCTGGCCTCCAAATCACTATGTAGCTCATAGCTCAGACTGGCCTTGAATTCATGGTGATCTCCTGACTTAGCCTCTGGTAATGTTAGAAAGGAGAAAAAAAAAAGTTCTAATCCACATTGGACACACTAGGGATCAGTTCTCCTCCTACCCCCTGTGGATCAGAGTCAAATGAAATGAACCAGATTAATTCCCCTCTACATTTTAGAATTTGAAATGTGTGTGAATTTCCCAGGCTTCTAATTTTCTTAGTCTTTATGTTCATAATCAGAAACATGAATTTAAAAAAAATAATAAGGGCTGTGAAGATAACTCCTTGGTGTCAAAAGGTTAGTTCCACCCGGGCCTCCTGAGGGTAGATGACAGATTTAATTTCTCCTTGTCTGTTTACCAATTTTCCATTCTGGATTCATTATTCGTCTATCACTATTACTTGGTAAGCATAGGAAGAGCTAATGGAACTGATATCAGAACACTGTAGGAAATCAAACAGACTCACACACAAGGTAAAAACAAGTTTTGCTTAGTAGGAGTTCATTCTATTGCTAGAGTGGATTATTCTGCACAGAACACTCCCTGGTTTGTAAAGCCCCCTGGATTAGCAGTGCCACACAGGTGAGCGCCACCTACTGGAGCACCAGGAAATCACCGGAGGAAGGACGTGGGTGGGGGGAGGAGTAGGGGACGGTGACCGGACAGAGGAAGTGGTACCAGGGAGCCTCTGGCCACAGTTAAATGATGCCAGGCCACGCGTACATGGGCAGGTGGTACTGGTTGTAATGAAGGTAATCCAGGATGCTCTTCTCCAGCAGGTTTTTGTAGATGGAGTCCTCGAAAACCCTTTGGAGGTATTTCTGGGGCTTCTCGTTCAGGTTTATTTCCTCATCCTCTATCTTGTAGGCCAGCTGCTCCATGGAAGGCATGTCTGTCTCCTGTGAACACAGTTAAGGGGCCAGAGTCAGACTTCCAGGGCAGTGTCAGCTCCCCAAGGATGGGGGATTGTTCTAGCTTTGTAGAAATTATTCATAAAGGTGACAAAATAGAGCCAATGCACACTATTGTTCTTATGATTTTTCAGTGGACAGTTCAGGACACACCACCCCACAGCTACCATCATCATCTGTCTGTCTATCTATCTGCAGAATTTGCATCCTGGATGACAGAAACTGTCTCTGTTAGTAGGAACATCCAGTCCTGTCCTCTATCCACCCCAGTCCCTGGCTCCTTTCCAGGGCACCTCAGACAACTGCAGCCATACACTGTCTTATGTTTTGTGGCAGGGTTCTCTCTCTCTCTCTCTATCTTCCTCTCTCTCTCCCTCTCCCTCTCTCTCTCTCTCATAGCATGATTATCACCAAGGATAATAATTTTAAGTCCTGAATTTTTCAGATAAAATTATTTGCTTGTTTTAATATCTGGACATGAACCCCCCTGGATTTTTGGTGGTTTATTGCCTTGGGTCTTGCTAAGGGGGCAGAGTTTAAGACCTTCAGAATAATAATGTTCTCTGTACAAATTTTTATAAACATTCTTAAAACACAGGACTCAGAAAGAATAAAGCTCTTTTAGACTATGCACAATCTGAAAAGAATAGAGTTTTCCGACATCCTGTAAAATTTTCAAACATACAGGTTGATAGGCGGCACTGCAAAGTGCACACTCCATCCCTGCACACCACTCAGATCACATAGGTGGCCCTTGCTGTAGGGCCCTGCCCATCTATGGCAGGGTTGTGATTGAGAACAACTGATTGTCCCCTGTGCCCTCAAACAAACTTCACAGTGTATTTACACCAACTTCCAACATCCCCATGTATTTCCAACAGAACAAAATGAAGAAAGGAAGAAAGAAAGAAAGAAAGAAAAAGAAAATGAACTGGAGTTACCTGGGGGGTTCTACTGGACCATCCCAGACAAAAGACTCAAGCTGTGAGGAGACATATTATCATCTGACTATTGAAGCAAAATATGACCAGGTTTCAGAGATTATAAACAGGGAGTGTGGAACAGTTGGGGTATGGCACAGAAATGAAGACTGAAAGCTGAATGGTGGCTGGGGAAAGGCAACTGAAGCCTGGAACCAAGAGCTGGGCTGCTGAGAGCTTTAAAGTGCCAGCACAACCCACGGATACAACCTGCTGTCAGGGTGAACTGGTTCTTTCTTCACACTTTTCTGTGAATCTATTTGACCAACACGAAACATTGAACTGATGGAAAGTGGGACTTGTTACTGTGCAAGGCTGGCCTACAGTGGTGGTGGGGGGTGGTGTAAGGTCACAGGGTGGCACCTGTGACCTCTCCCCTCACACCATGCTTACCTACCACCAGCTCACCTCAACGTGCCCCATGTCATATGTGACCTATTGTATCTGCCTTCTTTCACTTAGCACAATGTCTCTGCTTTCCTAGCCTTCTGAAAATTCCCTTATATTTAATTTCATTTTTAGCGCATGATAATTGTGCATATTATGGGGTACCATAGCTTGTGAGATGATTAAGGCTAGACATTTTGGTTGAGGATCTACCGATAGGAATCATATCTATACAAAGCATGGGATACCTGGGGGCTGCCGGTCCAGACTTGAGGACAAATGGTCCTAGAAGTAGTGTGGGTGGCAGGGAAGAAAGGCATGCCTTTTTACAGTAGGGCATCTTGCAAACAGCCATACTTGCACAATGCCACCAGTATGTTTAGAGACATGTATACAACACTTATTAATATTTCTGAGACCTGTTCTCCATTGAATTTAGTTTGAATCAAAAATGAATAATGATCTATTTGGAGGTGGTCACATGATTAAGGCCAACTAGCATATCCAATGCTGTGTATACTCACTGTGGCATGAACATTTAAAACCCACCTTTATGATAATTCTGAAACAACTATACATTATTAGCATCAGTTGCCAGGCTGTACAACAGGTGACTCAAACTTACTCAGCATCTCCTCTTCCCCCATTCTCCCAGCCTGGCCAGCAATCTGCAGCCACCACTCTAGGCTCTTCAGATTTTGTAAGTGAGACTATGCAGAGCCTGGTTTCTTTCACTTAGCAACAGGTTAATCCACATTGTTGTACAGAACAACCCATTTTAGGGCTGGACAGCATTCTACTGTGTATACACATCAGAATTTCTTTCTCTGTTAACCCACAGGTGGGCAATTAGGTTGTCCCTGTACCTTGGCTATTAATGCTGCAGTGAACACTGGAGTGTAGACTTACCTCCCACACAGCCATTTTGTCATGAACTCCTCCGGAGATAGACTCAGCACATGGTGAACTCCATCTGTGACCTCTGTGCTGCTTTCCAAGATGGCCCCCACTTACGCTCCCACCAGCGGTGTTCAACAGTTTTCTTTAGTCTGTGCCTTCACCAGCCCTTACCTCCAGCTTTTTTTATTTTTTATAACAGGCATCCTAATGGGGTCTGGTGGTCACTTGCTGTGTTTTTAGTTTTCAATCCCTGGTGGTGTTAACTCCCTCTCTTTTTCTTTCATGTTTATCTGCTGACAATTTGACAAATGTCTTTTTAGGTCATTTGCCTATTCTTTTTTTTTTTTTATATATAGCTATTTGTTTTGTTATCAAACTAACTGAGTTCCTCATGCACTGTCCATATCAGGCCCTTATCTGATGTGTGATTACAAACACTTTCTCACGCCCTGTGGGTTGTATGGATTCTGTTCACCATCTCTTTGCTGTGGGGAAGCTTTTCAGTCTGACCTAGACCCATTCTTTATTTTTGATTTTCTCACCTGTGCTTGGGACGTATCTAGAAAATTTTTGCCCAGACATCAAGGAGTCTTCCTCCTATTTTCTTCTAGGATTTCTGTGGTTTCTATTTTATAAGTGTTCTGATAAGAACAGTTTTTTTGTTGTTTTTGTTCTTTTGTGTGTGAATGCCTCGTTTTCTCATTGTCCTTATCAAAGAATCTGCCCTGTCCCCACAATATAGTATTTTTGTTAAAAAAAAATCAATTATCTAAGGGGATGGAAAGATGGCTCAGTGGTTAAGACAGTTAAGAGCACTTTCCCACAGGACCAGAGTTTGGTTCCCAGCACCCACATGGTGGCTTATGTCTGTAACTGGAGCTCCAGGGGATCTGGTGCCCTCTTCTGATCCTTTTAGGAACTAGACATACAAGTGGTACACAAATACACAGGCAGGCAAAACCTGTGGAACATAAAGATTTAAAAACTAACAAAACACCTTAAAAATCAGTTTACTAAATACATTGTATTCATTTATGAAGGTATCAAAGGAAAAATAATTTTAAAAAAGGGATCTTTCCAGCAGATTGGACATACTTGCGGGCTCTCGGTTTTTTATCCTGTCGGCCAGTGAATTTGTTTTTACTCTAGCACCATGCAGTGTTGGTTACTGTAGCATTGACATGTATTTCAAAATCAGGTAGCATGGTGTTTACAGCTTTATTCTTTTTTCCCCCTTTCAAGATTATTTTGGATATTCTAGTATTCTGTAGTTACATATAAATCTGTGATTTTGTTTTTTCTTTAAATCTGTTCCTGTGCAAACAGCCATTGGAACTTTTCTAGGGACAACACTGAATCTTGTGTAGCTTTGAGTGGTATTGACAAATGTTCTAGTTACTTGTGTCATCTTCAATTTCTTTATTTCCCTTTGGCTCAAGTCTTGGGTGTCTGAAAGGCTGTATAGTGCTGGGAGATGCAGCCTCCCACACCTGCTTGAGGGATGGCCTGTCTTGGAAACACTTGCTGACCAGGCCTGGGACCACCAGCTTGTAGAGGTAGTATGGGTGTCTCCATCCCCTCTTGAGGAATATCACCTGTCCATCAAGGTAGTGCTGTCTGGGGGTTACAGAGTTGGAGATCTGCTGGGCAGGCCCAGGGCAGAAGGTTCACAGCAGCCTGGCTGGAGTTCTTTATAACATGGCAGCTTCTGCAGATACTTCCTCCATGCCCAGACTTTCTCCTGTTATTTCCATTTGGGGTCTGCTGTTCTGAGAAGTACATGGCCATGGGACTGGTTTCCTGTGGATGATTCTGGAGGACTTACACTTATTTGTTTGCTTGGTTGCTCATTTGTTCCTGGAACTCACTGTATAACTGAGACTGTCTTGATCCTCCTGCCTCATCCTCCCAAATGCTGGGCAGAATTCCAGGTGTAAGCTCTAGTGCCTGGCTACATCCTGAACTTTAGTCTTATTCAGTTATTCTGTATAGCTGTACTTACAAAGTACCACACTGATTTGTTACTGTTGCTTTGAAGTAAGGGTTGAAGTCAGAAAGTGTGAAGCCTTTCACTTTGTTCTGCTGACAGTTTTGGCCATTTGAAATCTTTTGTATTTCTATGTCCATTAAAAAATGCCGTTGGTAATGGGAGGTAGTGGCGGTGGGGTACACCTTTGATCCCAGCATTCGGGAGGCAGAGGCAGGGGTCTCTGTGAGTTCCAGGCCAGCCTGATTTACACAGAGTGAGTTCCAGGACAGGCTCCAAAAGCTTCACAGAGAAACTGTCTCAAACAAAACAAAACAAAAGCCTTTGGGATTTTGATAGGATTTCATTGACTCTGTAGAATGTTTTGGGTAATGCTGCCATGATAACAACACTCTCTCTAAGTACTCCTGAAATCCAGTTGCAGAGATGGGGGAGTGATGAGCAAAGGGGTCAAGACCAGGCTAGAGAAACCCACAGAAACAGCTGACCTGAACAAGGGGGAGCTCACAGACCCCAGTCTGATAGCTGGGAAACCAGCATAGGACCGACCCAGACTCCCTGAAAGTGGTGTTAGTTGGAAGGACTGGGCAGTCTATGGGACCTCTAATAGTGGATCAGTATTTATCCCTTTTGGTTTGAGCATTGGTAGAGGTGAGAACTCTAGTGGTTGGCTGTTTTGCTTCTCTGATCTTCATCTTTAACCCCAATATCTGTCTCTGGGTTTGTGTTATGAACACCAATTACAATTCATGCACTTACTGATGGAGACACATCCCCTGCCCTGGTGAAAAGTTTTACTTATTGATTCAAATTCTTTGTTATAGCTCTTTAGCCATTTTCTGTTTCTTCTTGGATCAGTTTCTAGTTTCTGTGTTTCTAGGACATGATATACCTTATGGAGATACGACACTGGGTTATTATTTGAAATCTCTCATTCTTCTTCCCACAAATAGATTTATTTTGGGGTATGTGTGTGTGTGTGTGTGTGTGTGTGTGTGTGTGAGAGAGAGAGAGAGAGAGAGAGAGAGAGAGAGAGAGAGAGAGTAGTGTGTGGGCATGATCCTTTTGCAGAGGCCAAAAAGGGGTGTCAGATCTCCTGAAGCTGGAGTTACAGAGGGCTATGAGCTTCCAGACATGGCTGCTGGGAATAGAGTTAGGCTCCTCTGGAAGAAAGCAAGCACTCTTAGCCACGTTGTTATCTCTGCAGCCCAGCCTTTCCTGTTTAAAAAGTTGGTGTCTATACATTTCTCTCTGAAAACTCTTTCTGCATACATCTTTTGAATGGTGCGCTCCCATCTGCACTCCCCTCTTGTAACCCTTCTGCATTCTTCTTTGACCCACTCACTGGTTTCTTAAGAAGGTTTCTAAAAATTTGTGAAATTTCCAGTTTGCTTTCTGTGCTGGCTCCTAGGTTTACTATGCACTTACTACTGGTGACGGCACTTTAAACAGTTTGGATATTTTAACAATAATTGACAAGGTTCTGTGGTCTTGAGTGTCCTATCCTGGAGAATGTTCCATGTGCACCTGAGCTCTCCAGCGTTGTTGAACAGCAGTCCCATGCACCTGTGCTTACTCTTGTGCACCTGTGATGGCTCCTGAGCACCTGTGCTGGCTCCTGTGCACCTGTGCTGGCTCCTGTGCACCTGTGCTGGATCCTGTGCACCTGTGCTGACTCTTGTTCACCTGTGCTGACTCTTGTTCACCTGTGCTGGCTCCTGTGCACCTGTGCTGGCTCTTGTGCACCTGTGCTTGCTGCCTCCTGTGCACCTGTGCTGGCTCCTGTGCACCTGTGCTGGCTCCTGTGCACCTGTGATGGCTCCTGAGCACCTGTGTTGGCTCCTGGGCACCTGTGTTGGCTCCTGGGCACCTGTGCTGGCTCCTGTGCACCTGTGCTGGCTCATGTGCACCTGTGCTGACTCTTGTTCACCTGTGCTGACTCTTGTTCACCTGTGCTGGTTCCTGAGCACCTGTGCTGGCTCCTGTGTACCTGTACTGACACTTGTTCACCTGTGCTGGCTCCTGAGCACCTGTGCTGGCTCCTGTGCACCTCTGCTGGCTCCTGGGCACCTGTGCTGGCTCCTGTGCACCTGTGCTGGCTCCTGTGCACCTGTGCTGGCTCATGTGCACCTGTGCTGACTCTTGTTCACCTGTGCTGACTCTTGTTCACCTGTGCTGGTTCCTGAGCACCTGTGCTGCCTCCTGTGCACCTGTGCTGGCTCCTGTGCACCTGTGCTGGCTCATGTGCACCTGTGCTGACTCTTGTTCACCTGTGCTGGCTCTGTGCACCTGTGATGGCTCCTGTGTACCTGTGCTGGCTCTTGTACACCTGTGCTGGCTCCTAGGCACCTGCGCTGGCTCCTGAGAACCTGTGCTGGTTCCAGGTAGTTCACAGCATTGTGAACATACTCTTCTTCCTCTCCTGAAGTCTGCTCTAGCTCAAATACACTGAAATATCCAATCCTTACTTTATATACATTTTTCTTCCAATCTTTCAACTCTGCTTCATATATGTGGGGGCTCTGTTATTAAGGGTGCATATGTTACTTCTTTCTTAAAGGAATTGTGATTTTTGACAATAAAAAATTTGACTATGGATAGTGACTCATAGGCTTTAGTCATAGATAAAATGAGATGTTCATGAATTTATAATAAAAACTGAATACCAGGAATGCCATACTTAATGTTTGAGATCCCGTACTACTTTGGCAATGAATTAGAAAGAGATAAGAAATGGATTAAACCATCTCCCTATTTTAGAAAAAGAATTACTGCTATTCTTTAATGCAGCTGCCCTTTTCATTTTTCTATTGTCAGGTTCATAGATGAAACACCTGCATGTCTGTGTGGTCATCCCTTGCCCCGTGGGTTTCAGTGCTGTGGCTGTATTAGCTGCTGGTGGCTGACATCAGCAGAACCATCCTTTGCTTCCATGTGCTTGCACACAAGTCTTTCTGGATAGAACAGCTAGGCCTTGTTCTGTGGTTATCTGAGGGTTTGCCCAACGCCACCCTGAATTTGCACAGCAGCAGATACCATGCCACACACCACTTCTCTGTGTGGCTTTCCTGATTGATGAATGGAAATGATAAAGGCCCTCATGGAGGCAGGCCACACTCCGGTTAGAAAACCCACAGGAATGACTAGAACTCCTCGGTGCGTTTGTTGGCACAGGTCAAAAGCCACTCCTACCCTGAGTCAGCACAGCAAACTGGCTCACAGCCAAAGTCAGGTTGTGGATGAAAATTTTGGGGAGCCCTGCGGAGTCCTGTCAAACATGACAGATGCCACTAAGTTTAACAGCTTTTGATTCTTTTTTCTCAACACTTGCTCCAATATTAATGTGTCATTGCTAATGCTCAAGTACATTCATTGTGTTCAGCATCTCCTGAGTTTAGACAACGATGTCACAGTGTGGTGTCATACAGAAGTTGTACTGTCCTAAGGGACCCTCTGTGCTCACCTGTTCACCCAGACTTCTCTCATCCCTCTAAACCCCGGAAACTGAATTTTATTGACGAAAATATGGTCTGTGGTGACAACTATAGTAAAATATTTCTAAGCTTTCTGCTTTCCGGTATTTACCTCAGACACAGGCTAGTAACAAGAAAACACTATGTATATCCTAAAACCCCTGAGTGCTGTGCAGAACAATAACCAGGCACCTCAAATGTGGGATTGAGAAAGCTTGGGGCAAGATTGGAGAAAGATTGAGACAAGTCTTTATTGCAGGGGCAGCTTTCAGCTCAACAGATGACATTTGAGAGGAGGGGAGGTGTCCGAGATGTTAAGTAGAGATGGTAAGTGTGGTTCAGACCTCAATGTAGGCTGACCTCCTTCAGTCTCCAGGATGGAGTGCAGTGCCTGTGTGACCTGTATCCATCTTTAGTATATGGTCGGCTCTCCATATCCACAGGTTTCACACCAACAGATTCAATGAACAAGGGACCAAAACTAATTGGAAAAAACTACACCTGTATTGATAATGTTCCTGTGTCATTTACTTTTCCCTAAATGAAGAGGTTCAGGCCCCACAGGGTTTTAGTGGGCTATTTAAGTAATCTAGAGAAGATGTGATGCATGCAGAAGGGTGTGTAGTTCTGTGCAAATACTGCTCCGTCCTATGTAAGGGACTTGGGCATCTGAATGCATGCTTCAGTATCCTCAGGGTACTTAACTTGGATTCAGGGAGTGTCTATATACTGCAGTTAGAATGACCTAAGCACCGTCTGACCTTCACATTTTCTCACATTGCTTCTCCCTCAGGGCCATGTGGGATTGACTGGAAGCATCCGTGCTCTTGGGAGCTTTGACTCTTTACTGTAAACTTTTCCTATTGACACTGACCTGCTGAGCGTTTAACTGTTTGGACCCTAAAACATGACATTTTGATTTAAACTCTAAAACTATGCTTCCAGTTGGAATCTAGTTCAGATTAGTAAATTGCCTACATTTTGTAGCAGGCTCCCGAGGACTCATATTGGAAATCGAGGAGTGAGGATGAGACAGTGATTGGACCCTGTATGGCCCCCGCCCTCCTCTTCTAGCTGGAGAATGAGAGTTTCCAGTCTGAAGCTTGTGAACCCAGACCACTGTGTAACTACCCTATGGAGGGTGATTTATTCTCATTGGTGTGAGGTCTAGGGGGTTCCCCCACCCACCTCACAGGGCTTTGTTACATTAAGTGAGGTGGTGTAAGATGGGGCTAGACTATGGTAAGGGCTACATAAATTATGTCATCTAGGCTCTCCAGTATTGTGGCTGTCCTTCAGCACATACAAGGCTGAAGGTCCTGTGACAGGGGGCATAGGAATTGTCCACTGAAACATCAGAATGATACAGAAGCTAATAAAGGCCCAGGTATGTTGTCTCTAGCAATCAAGGTGGAGCCGAGAGGATATTCCACCTTCCCCACCAAATGCCTCCTTATCTCCACAGAGGTATTTTGTTTTTTTAGGGGACCAGGTCTTTTGAGATAATCTTGTGTAGCTTAGGCAAGTCTGGAACTTGCTATGTAGCAGAGAATCATCATGACTCCCAAGCTTCCTACTTCATTGCCAAAGTGTTGGGATTAGAGACACAGGCCACTAGACCTGATATTTTAATTTTTTTAAAAATACACTCATTCATGCATGCATGCATGCAAATGTACCCTCAGCAATAACAGACAGAAAACTAAAGGGATGCAATTTTCATTCTAGGCAGCAGGTAAAAACAACTTACAGCTCATATTCAGCTGATCATGAAGATAAAGCTACTCATTAAAAAAAAAAAAAAAAAAAAAAAACGCTAGCGTAATGTAATGTCCAGAGAAAGATTTAAGGAAAGTCACTACCCCTGAACATCACTGTCTGCGTTTATAGACTCCAGTTAGGATGACGTTTATTTAAGGAAGTACAAGGGTGCTAAAAAACCACTGTGAGATGGAAATGTGGGAAAAAGTCTAAATGATCAACGGCTGTCAACTGCTTACAATTTGCAAGGAATAACACCCACATATCCATTAATCACTCTTACCTGCTTGGAGTTTAAGATTTGGCGCAACTCTTTCCTGAGATCAATAAAACGATCGTGGAAGAGGGCCATGCACCACGGCTCCGTGAAGTAGCTGGTGAGGGAAGAAGAGATTCAGTTAGCTGGCAACCCTCTCATTACCACTAATAAAGTATTTACCTGCTTTTTTGCCTTGATAAATTACAGTTCTGGCCCCATTGCAATCGTTTGCTCATAAAGAGCCTCGCAGAGCAGCCTGGCCAATCAATGTTTTAAATGGGTGTCCCTGATGGAAGGCCAGGTTCCGTAATTACATTTAAAGTGCTTTAATTCAGAGCTGGGGCAGGACCCAGTGAAGAACCCTGATTTTATCAGAATTTAAAAGCCTGAAGACTTGTAAAGAACGGCGTCTCCATTATCTGCCCTCATTTGAGAAAAACAGATTGCGGGATTGACTGAACTGCTGCATGAACAGATTAAATTTGGGTAGAAAATAACACAAATGTTGTTCGTCATGAAGGTTTCTGGATTAATAATGAGCAGAAAACAGGCCACCTCAGTGTCGCAGCCTGGCCTCTGCACAGCCAGCTGGTGCTTACCTGAACCTCATGCAGGGAAGCTGTGCTTTTGTGTTCAGGCTACTAACTGGTTGCCGAAGGCTGCACAGACGCCCATTTTATACAGAGACCAACACAGCCCTCCGCCATTCACAGTGATCCCAGAAAATGTGACAGGGTTGTGGAAAATCTGATACATTTTTGCCTTGCCATAACCAAGCACATTTACTGAATTTTAACCTGTGCTACATTGTACTGTGAAGCATCCTGGGACAGGAAACCAAACTTCCTCAAGAGTCTAAGCCTGACTCTGTGGGTGTCACTCCTCTCTAAAACTAAGTTTTCTGCCATTGTTTGTGGGAGGCGTGGGTATGCACACAGGAAGGAAAAACTGGTTTCCAGCCAGAGGAGCAACAGAGACAAGTCCCCAAGACTACCAGGCATCAGAAGATGGACATAGCAAGAGTCTATGCTTGGATCTGCAGGAAGCCAGTTGTGACCTGATTCCCTGCTTAGTTGCCACCTATACTTCATCCAACCTTAGCTCCGACAATACTATCTACCCTTTGCCCCTACTGTCCCTACCAAGCTTCCAGGTGCTAGAAAAGCTGTAGGGACCCAAAAGACAGATGCCCCTGCCAACATGGAGTTTATATTCTTGAGATGACTAAGGAAAGGCTAGAACGTTAGACAAAGATGACTTTATTGAGAGAAAATTAAATGAGGCAGGGACAGAGTAGAAAAACTTGGGGTAGAGGAGGGTGAAAGGCTCAATTCTGAGGCCATGGCTTGGTGAGCCCAGACCCAAGGGAAGGGAGAAGTCACACGGGAATGTGAGAGGAAAGCATGCCTGAGTGGGAAGAGAAAGCGCAAACTGCTGGAGTCAGGAAGGGGCCTGGATCACCTCGGAAGGCTGTAACATGAAAAATAAAAGACCCAGAGGCTGATATTGGGCTTTAAACTTCAAGCTGGAGATCAGAAAAGCAAATAGCCAGAATCTAGCTCTTACCTCTACCTCAGCTCCGAACAAAGGGGTGATCCTCAAACTGCTCCCAACCACACTGCTCCTCAGATTCACTCAGACTGCTATGCTAGAAACTCTCAGGCTGAATACCTCTACTTTTGCTACCTCTCAAATCTTGGGGTTAAAGGCAAGAGCTCTGATTCACTCTTCAGTAGCCCTGGGTGGTCTTGGACTCAAAGATCCATCTGCTTCCTGAGTCCTGGAATTAAAAGTGTGTACCACCACTGCCTGATCGCTGTATCTTGAGGCTGGCTTTGCTTTCTGAATTAATCCTCAGGCAAATAATACATCACCACAGTTCCCACCAAAGTCCCTCCCCCTTTTTTTCTAATACAAAAGAAGGCTACAACTAACACAAGAAAAACTATACACAATAAGTATATACAATATATACAGAAAAGTTCATCAACAATATCTAGTCTATTTGCATTTTGACAAAAGGTAGAATGGGGAACCACAAAAGTGGGGTGATGGTCTGTAGGGGATTGATGAACAGGTCACCCCTAATGGAGGTACCTGGTCACATCCACCATAGGATTATTCCACGGGTGCATAGCTTGGCAACTGCACACAGCAGGCATCAAGGGAGTGGTCACCGGCTGAGTGCACACTGTATTCTATCCGATTTTGACTGCCTGTCTTTAAATTGTCTTCCATAAGCCTAGAATGTAATTCTGCTAAAGGGGGCTAAGCACAGCAAAATGCCCCAAGATAGTTGCATCAGGGAAGGGAGAATGAGTTGGATGTGTTGGTGCATACCAGCAATCCCAGCTCCCAGTAGCTCAAATCAGGAGACCAGGAGGCATTCAGGGTCAACTTGGGCCACAGGACGAGTTCACAGCCAGCCTGAGCTACAAAGTGAAAACCTGTCTCAAAGAGCCAGGACTGGACAGCTGTTAACTCTTCACATTTTGAGCATCAACAGTCACCCACTGCAACACAAGCCTTTCTTATCAAAGCTGACAGCACTATTCATCTACGAGCATAAGAGAATATTTAGAAGACAGTTTGACACAATGTCCATCCATCAAAACAATACTAGAAGGCTCCCACCCCTAGGGCCTATGACTTCCCCATCCACAAACATTTCTTTGAGACTAGTATAATTACATCATTTCTCCCTTCCCCCAACTCCCTGTAAACAAGAATCTCAACCTGTGAGTTGAGGGTCACTTAAGACCATTGGAAAACACAGATGCTTACATTACGATTCATCACAGTAGCAGAATTACAGGTATGAAGCAGAAACAAAATAATTTTATGGATGGGGTCACCACAACATGAGGAATGTATTACAGGGTCACAGCATTGGGAAGGTTTAGAGTCCAAACCCTTCCATATATCCTTCCTTTGCTCTCTTCAAACGCATGGACCCTTCTCATTAACTGTTGTGACATGCACATATGTATATACATATATGTATTCCTAACTACAACCTGCTCAACCTGTATAATGCTGCTGCGTATATGTGTGTTTTCAGGGCTGTCCTTTGGGTATTGGATAACCAATTGGTGTGCTCTTCCCTGGGGATGACCTTTTCCTGCTCTCAGCATTCCTTGGTCGCTGTAGTTCTTTGCGTAGGGTAGAGGCTCATGGGTTCCCCCCTCTGTCCATGGACCGTTTCACCAGCTGTATCTTTATTTAGGGAACGCTGAGGGAGATGGAATGGAAAGAATGTAAGAGGCGGAGGACAGGAGGAGCGATGGGAAGCACTTTCTCTTGGATGTGACATAGCCACTTTACTGTGGTTACCTGCACGAGATGGCACGTGAACATTCCATCATGACAGGGGAGGGGCTCATGAAGCCACACCCCTTTTTTGAGGAACTAACAGTTAATGGTTGCTGGAGAGAGAAGAGTTATTTCGTTCAGTGGTATGGTAATTTGCTCAGGCTACAGTAATAACCCCTTCCTCACGCTCATGAAAACAACCTTAATTATACTCCACCCTCATGCCTCAATGAGAGGCATGAAAGTAGGAGGGAGCCTCTGAGGAAGAAGGGGTTCAGCAAGAGTGGGGGGTGGGGTGGCAGAGAGTGATGGAGTAAATGAGAAAAATACACACATACATGCGTGAAATTGCCAAAGATAAAAGTAAAACAATAAAAAATCCACTTTTAAAAGACACACTGAAAAAAATTAAAAGTGAAAAGTGAACGGCTACATACTGAGGTGTATGTGGGGGGGACAGCAAGGCTGAGGGTGTATACAGATGGTGATAGAACACTTGCCTAGCATGCACAGGTCCGGGTTTGACCCCAGCACCTAGGGTGGGGCTAAGAGAGTAGGGGGAGAGAATGAGAGAGGAGAGACAGGGAGGGAGAGAGAGAGAGAAAGGGAGAGAGGGAGAGAGAGGGAGGGAGAGAGAGAGAGAGAGAGAGAGAGAGAGAGAGAGAGGGAGAGAGGAGGCAGACAGACACACCCAGGGCGGTGGGCTACACCTTGTTTGCCTATACAGGTGACCTCTGTAATTACTCAAAGACATCTAATTCCAAGAAATCACATGCCACTGGTGGGAAATTAGGTTGGTGTTCTGGTCCTACAATCCCGGGCCCACCTCCAGTCAGCTTCTTCAACGGGAAGATGGGTCAGAGGGCTGAGGTTTGGTCAATCTCCCCAGCTGGCAATGTCTTAAACTGAAGTGTAACAAGAGCCCTGTCAAGACACCCAGGCACGACTCTGCCAGGACGGTCCCCACCTCTAGGATATAGATGCTGCAGGGAACTGACATTGCAAATCCTCAAACACTGCCAATTCCTAGGTTAGAAACCAGGGATCCCTTTTAATTTGTCGCTGCATTTCCTTTCATGTTTCCATGCCACTGTAGGTCCCAACACTTTTTGGTTTGGGAGTCTGTAACCTTTCTCTCATCTTTCCATTCCACTACTCTAGATCTGTCCCATTAGTCCAACTTCCTGGCCCAGTGCCTGTCCAGCTGTCCTGTGTCGTCCTCCGGATCCTCCTCACTGCCTGCTATAACGAGAGAGTACTGGGGGGAATCCCACTTACTTTAGGAAGACCTAGATGCTCTGGGCTGTGTCCACCACTGACAAGCCCATGTCCCCACAGGCTCCATCTACCAAACCTAATACAGATTATAGGAGGAACAGGCAGCCTTAACTCTCTGAAAACACTTGTAAGTCTGCACAGTGCCTGGGATGGTCCAGAAGGAGCTGGGTTCTTAAAAAAAAAAAAACAAAACAAAAAAAAAAAAAACCCAACCCAAAACAAAACAAAACAAAAAAACTTTACTTTGATAGGTTTGGGACTCTCTGTGGCTTCCTCCCAGTGCCCAGCAGAAAAGGACCTTGTTATCAGATGACCTACTTTAAATAGTTTGCACAGGCTAAGGAAAACTGCAGTTTTCCTTGGCCCATTATTGCCCAGGTGGCAGCCAACCTTGTTCAGAAGGTAGCAATAGCCATGGCATACTGTTCTACAGATATTCTCAGAATACAACAATAGCAGGCATTTTTTTTTAATTTATAAAAGAGAGAAGCATATGAAGTTGGTTTTGGATTTCATTCCCCTCTT